CAATTCGTGGAGACTTTCACTGGGTAAATCTAATCGCATCGAGGCAGAGAGAGAAAAGGACCATATTTCAGCTTCTATCAACTCAGCCTGTTTTTACACGTGGAATATATTTATTTTTACTCTTTTTCAAAAGACACTACTTTGAAAGTTATTCATAGTTGAGCCTCAGACATACAAGCTTCCAGCTCCAATCCCACCACCAGAAATAAATCCTTTCCATCAGGGTCCCTAGGAACAACCCTCGCCCCCCCCCCCCACCACCAAACACACACACACACACACACAGTCTGCCTTGACAAGTTTGACCAAGATTTTTTCAACTTGCTTGTGGTTTGGATTCATCTATGGTTTGGTTGAGGTCTGGATTTGGCTCTCCTGCTTTCACTGTTGTTTACTCTGTGTTTGGGGCATATGTTTGCACCACCCCTCCACACCATGGATGAACCTGAGGCCCCGGATGCTATGTCCCTGTTACTCCCCATCTGCCTCTTCTTACTGCCCTCATCAATTTCTTTCTTCTCTGAACTTCTCCTCCCTGTACTCTGGGTCAGTGTTGATCTAGGTGTCCCCAATCCCCTTACTGGATGCCTACTTCCCTCGTCCAGTATTCTCTATACCATAGATAAGTGAGATCGTCTCGTGTTTGTCCTCTTCTTCTGGCTTACTTCACTTAACATTACTTTGGGGCTTGTTTTTGGGCCACATTCATCAGTGCTCAGGGCCTCCTCCTGGCTCTGCACTCAGAGATCACTCCTGGTGGGCACAGGGGACCATATGGGGTGCCCAGGATAGAACTCAGGTTGGCCACATGCAAGGCAAGTGTTCTACTCACTGTACTATCACTCTGGCACCATTAACATCATATTTTTAAGGGAATGATAGGGGAAGAGACACGTGACAGAGAAGGGATGGATATTCTACCAGCTTGTCTGATAGATGAATTCCTCCACTCTCCACTTGAACATTTAGGGGAGAGAGGGACATTCTGCCAGGGAGAGAGACTCTCAAGCACACAGGGCCTCCCCTCTGCACCCACGGAAGCAGGGCTGGTGCCCTGGGCAGGATGGGGGGTGGACTTTGACCTGGGCATGGTGTTTCTCAGTTGGGCTGATTTTGGAGACGCCATATAAGCGGCTGTTGGCTCTCCCATGCTTGCTGAAGGTCCAGGCTCACCAAATCTCTGTGGTGGTGAGGAAGGAAAGACCCAGAAAGAGAGGTCCAGGGAGCAAGTATCTTCTACTTTGGCTTACCTGAAAAAAAAAAAACAGATTTCACAAGAAATTTACTTAGAAAGACTCGGGACTTATGTGACTTCATTAGTGAAATGTGACAGTAAAAGAGGGAACAACCCCGCTCATAACTGAGGCCAACCATCTCCGACCATGGATCTTAGAAAAGCCAGGACCTTGGGGGTCACAGAGAAGTCCCAGGCGCGAACCTGGTGGGTCCAAGAAACCAAGTGCCCAGGCACCCTAGTAACAAGGTTTCTGGAGCATGGTAGCCACACAGCTTGTGCAGGGTCTCCGAAGCTCACAGGCCCAACAGTCCAGTGCAGTGAAACAAAGAATCAGAGGGCATACCGTGTACAGGCCCGCTCAGCACAGAGGCTCAATCAGCACCACACAGCTCCACAAAGCTGTGGACAATAACTGTAGTAACACCATTATGCTACGTGTATGAGTGTGTATGTGTGCGTTAGTGTGTGTATGTGTGTGACGGTATGTGAGTGTATGTGTATGTGAGTGGGTGGGTGTGTATGTGTGTAAATGTGTGTGAGTGTGTTTGAATGTGTGTGTGTGTGATTTGTAACAAGCAATATGCAGTATATTATTTGTGCCTGCTATGGGAGCAGGCTAGAGCTGGAGGTTTGGTGGAGGGAGGTCATGCTAGAGGGGATTGGTGTTGGAGTATTGAATATTGGAATGACTGTATGATGAACAACCTTGTAAGCCACAGGGCGTAAATCAAGTTTTGAAGTGGGAAAAGGGAAACTGAGGCAGAGGCATGCCTCAGCCAGCACAGGAGAAGCAGAGGACAGGGACCTCCCCAAAATGGATTGGGGGTTGGCTGGGAGTCTCTGTGTCGGGAGAAGCCATGCCTGGGTGGGGAATTCCTTGAGATTCTCTTCTTCCTTCAGGTGTTTGACTTTGAACTGACCCTGGAGGACATGAAAGCCATCGATGGCCTCAACAGGAACTTCCGCTATTTCAGAATGGACCCGTGAGGATTAGATGCTCCTGGGGCTTAGGGGGGGATGTGAGTTTGAGCGGAGGGACAGGCCCCTGAGTCAGGTAACAGCCTGATGAGCAGCAGAGGTATAGAACTGGGCACTGGACTCTGTAGGCCTAATGTCCAGCTGCAGCCAGTGGCCCCAGTCCCTTCGTGTGAACTCACTGTCATGTCCTGAGCCTGAACTTCATGCATGAGGACCCTGATTATGACTCGGGGGTTGAGGACAGCTGGGGACAGGGCAGGGCACTCCCATGAGGAGAGGTAAGGAATGAGGCAGAGGTCAGGAGTGACCACTGAGTAACAGGGAAAGAGCTGTGGAAATAGGTGTGGGGTGTCTCTGGGCCCCCAAGTCTCTTAGAGCTGCCCATGGGGGCAGGGCTGGGTGTTCTAGGCAGGGAGAGAGGAGTACAGGGCAGACCCATGGGCTCCTTCTGTCCAGAGACCACGTGAGCCCTGAGGAGGGACTCAGCCTGGGGCCGTGGCCCTTCCAGCTCAGACCCTGGGGTCTCTGTCAGGCCCATGGCCTAGGAGCTGTGTCCCCTGAGCTGTGGGAATCAGAGGGGATAGGGGGACTTTCCCAGGGCCTCTCTGTGTGTTGGGGAGAACTTAACACAGTGGATAAAGGGAGATACTGGCCCAGCCATGCCCTCGGGTATCCTGTTGCTCCTGTGAGAAGGTGGCCACCACACTGATCTGTCTTCCACCCGCAGTGCAATGGGCCACCCCAACTACCCGTTTGCTGATGAGTACTGAGGCTTCAAGTGCTGGCGTGGAGGGACCTGTGTGCTCGGCTGACAGGGGCAGCGCCTGCAAGCCCAGCCTGGCCTCCCACTTCTTCACTTTTTCTCTTCGTGAATTAATAAAGATTTGAAATAGCTCCAACAAGGGGTGTGTCCTGATTATACAGCCATGGGGTTTTCAACATGCAGATTCCGTAGAGACTGGATTAAAAGGGAGTCCATGAGAATGGACAACCTGCAATCTGCCCATCGAGCTGCTTCTTTCGGTGCTTATTCCTTCAAGGTTTCTCATTTTCTCCTTTGACCAAGGTTGACTTAGTTCATAGTACACTGTGAATCCCAGTAGTGCTGTTTCCCACTGGGTGTGTGCAGACCACCCTGAGCCTGACACAGCTATGCACACACCCCACAGTCGGATGACAGCCTACCTGCCCTTCCCCCGTGCCCCATTCTGCCATGGGCCCCCGAGAGAGCTGTGCTTGGTTCCTTAGCTTGTGTTGGTCATTTCTGACCCATGTATGTCAAAGCAATTCAGGAACTGTTTTCTCCTCTCCTGACTCACTGCCCAGAGTATTCCCTCTTCCAGCGCCATCCGAGCTGGTGCAAAGGGCACGGTTGCATCTTGTCTTCAGTGGAGCTGAGGTCTCTGGGATATCCAGGCAGGTGCTGATGCTGCTGGGAGTACAGGGGACGGCCTGGTTTTTCCTTCTGTCCCCAAGCCCCTTGCTCCCTCGAGACTTGGGACTCCAGCAAGCTTCCCCCCACGGCCCCCAACTATATTGGCGATATTTCTGATGTTCCAGGCCTGTGCCAGCCCCTGCCCTGCAGTGGGGGCTCTTGGGGACAAACACCTCCCTGAGCACTGAGGCCTGTGACGCCGATGCCATTGTAACAGAGCCCCCTTGGTGACAGCTGGGCTCTCTTGTGTGTGGAATGGCATGCCCCTGCTGACAGACGGGCCCTGCCCAGAGGCACAGGGCCCCACATGTCAGCAGACAGCAGAATGGGTGCCGAGACTCAGGGGAAGCTCCCTACCATGCACATTCTTCCTGTTGACAGTCAGGAGACTGGGGGGCAGAGGCTCGAACTCCAAGCCACAACTCTGAAAACAACGAGCCTCGCTGGTCACCAAACGTGGGCAACTGAGCCCAGGCTGGGAATCCCTGGGAGTCCCATCTTCCACCAACATGCCAGCGCCCTGGGCTTTGTGGGGCAGAGAGAGAGAAGAGGACATGCTCCTCGCTGAGTCAGTTGAACAGTCAAAGGCTCCCCACACTCACGTGCCTGACACCCACTGAACTGGGTGCATGAAATCTTGCTGTGCACAGACGCTGGTGTCTGGAAACCAGCTTCAGGACAGTTGCCATTCTGTGGCTAGGTAGGATGACAAGATGAATTCTGAACGTCAGGAATGCTTGGAGAAAAGGGACAAAGTCTCCCCTGTGCATGGAAATCCAGCAGAACCCGAAAACCCAAATTGAAGCACAGCAAAGAAGCAAATGGCATCCACTGATAGGAGAAACTGTGGAGCAACCCCAAGTTCCTGACAAAATCTACAGAGTCATGGCCGGGCAAAGGCATGAAACCTAAAGGACCAAGCACAAAGCTGCAGGCGGGGCAGGATTCCAGGGTCTGCAGTGTCCAGAGCAGGAGCCTGGTGGCAGCCCAGGAGCCACGGAATCAGCGACTGCAAAGCCAAAGCTGCCTGCCAGCTCTGCTGTTGTCTTGTTATACGTGCAGAAATTATGCAGGGAAGTCTGCCCATCGGTGGAAACAGACAGTGATGTGCATCTGTCATAAGCATGAAATCATGCAATGTGAACTGTGAAAAAGCAGGGCAAGGGTCAGGAGCACCCGAGATGGAGCCCACTCTCTCTCACCCAGCTGTGCCTATGGACTGCTGCTCCTCCGGTATAGAAAACTCACTGGATGTATGACTTTAACCGTGGCAGATGACTGAGGGAGGGTTCAAAGCAAAAGTCCTCTGGCATCAGCCCCAACTTTCTTGCGAATTTTGCAGTGCAAAGATCAGAGTCAGATGCGCACACAAACCCCTCCCCAGACTCTGCTGGGCCTTGTCTCTAATTCAGCTCCTCGAGGCTGCACCTGCTCTAGATGTCCTCTCAGAGGTAAGTTCCCAAATGCTGGAAAATAATTCTCTCAGGTTTGGAATTCTTCTTTTCTCTAAATGAAATCATTCCCGGAGCTCCGCTGCAAATGAGAAGGCATGACTGTTGGTCTTCTAGGTGATTATGTTGAATGATTTCCTTTGACTGCCTCTGTAACTGATATTCCTTTATAAATTTACTTAATGGTCAGCAGTAAAGAGAAGCTCACATTTAAAACATTTTATTTCTCAAATACATGCTTTTTTGTGAAATAGTTTCCTTTCTGCTGACAGCCCTCTTTCTCCTCTTTACTCTTTTCAAACAGCCCCTGACAATGATGAACTGGACAGATCAATAAGGACTTCTGAGTTTTGTTTTTTTCTGGCAGTGCTCCAGAATTATTCCTGGCTCTGTGCTGAAGGGCCACTCCTGGTGGTGCCTGGGGGACATAGAGATCTGGTGCCGGGGTCAACTGGGTGTCAGCTGTATGTCATGCGAATGCCTTAACCCTTTACTATGCCTCTGGAAGAAACATAATATTTTCTCCACATTCATAGAACATATAGTTAAATAACAAGTCTCCCTCTTAGAAAGAGTCTGTGGCAGGGTTTGCTGTGGCTGAGCAGAGCCAAACCCTCAGACTTCCCGGTGCTGACCCAGGGGCTCCCTCCTGTGTAACTGAGTGTCTGGGGCTCCCTCTGTATAGCCGGGCAGCTGGGGCAGATGGAGAGTGTGCATGGTCTTTCGGCTCTGATTCCCCAATTGAGTTTTTCTAGCCACCCCGCTTGGGTGTCCGGGACCCAGGGTCTGGTCACGCCACTGGCCCTCCCCTTGGCTGCCTGGGAATCAGGGCTTCTCCTACCACACTTGCAGCAGTTTGTTTTTCTTCTCAGTTGTTCCTTTTCAGAACCTTACTCAAAGTTTTATAATTCTCCACGTCTTTTTCTTTTCCATATTTAAGAGGGGTCTCCCTCAGCCGTGCTGGGTTGTGGGGTGCAGAGAGGGTGGTGCCTGAGCTCCAGGCATCAGCCTCATGCTCCGGGGCCTCCATGCTTCTCCTCTTGCCCTTGCTCTCCAGGGGCATTCTTTTTTTTATATATAGTTTTTTTTTTAATTTAGATTTTTATTAGTGAAACACCATGAGGTACAGTTGTAGATTTGCAAATTTTTGTGCTTGGGTTTCAGTTATACAATGATGGAATACCCATCCCTCCACCAGTGCCCATTCTCCACCACCACTGATCCCAGTATCCCTCCCACCCTCCATCCCCCCCATCCCACCCTGCCTCTGTGGCAGGTCATTCCCCCTTCTTCTCTTTCTCCTTTTGGGTGCTGTGGTTTGTAAAAGAGGCATTGAGTGGCAATCATGTTCAGTCTAGAGTCTACTCTCAGCACACATCTCCTATCCTGGGAGGATCCTCCCAACACCTTTTATTTGGTCCTCCCTTCTCTATCCGAGCTGACTTTTCCCCCAGCGTGTGCGGCTGGCCACCAAGCCACGGAGTAAACCTCCTGGTACTCTGCTGTTCTTGGGTGTTAGTCTTCCAGGGGCATTCTTAGTTGCGCTGTTAAGCCCTCAGGTACTGGCTACCTTTCATTCCCTTCATAAATATTTTCCGAGTTGATCCTGAAGATTTGAGGTCACAGACCCACAAAGATTTTAAACTGTTGCGCCCTAGTTTCAAATTCCCAGTCATGGAGAGACTAAGTCTACACGCAATCACGCAAAAGCAGAGGAACTTTATTGCTAGCTCGAGCTAGGGTTCAAGTCTCATCCAGTGCAGTGGAGTCTTGACAAAGACACCGACTCCAAATCACAAACAGTTTATATAGGGTTCAAAGTTATGCAAGCACTATGGCAACAGTGGTCAGGCAACAGTTAAATAATTTCTGGCATATGGTGATTGATTGAGCCCACTTGCTGAGCCCAGGAACTCTCCAGGTGAGTTCAGGTTGGCTAGTTATACATTGACTTCTGGGAAACCAAAAAACTGTTTCAGTTCCAGGAACTGAACCTGAGGCCTAGCTGATTTTTCTCATTTTTGCGTCTGCCGTGGTATTGCCTTTGCTTATGGTATAACTCATCTCTTCAAAACGACTTTAACTCCATATGACAGAAAGCAGAGTTTACTAATAACAAATTTTATCAGAAAAGTGTTCAGTATTCTATAGCAAAATATTTTTATTTCTTCTTGCATAGCATTTTTTTTCTGGTGTTTTTATCAATATCTTTACTTAAATAAATTGTGCATTTGAGTTCCTTATAAGTACTTTTCTTCTAATTTTTAATACTTTACATAACCTGTGCTTGAAATTTTCTTATATAAACCCTAAAAGGAGAGATCCAATCCCATTTTTGATAAAAAAAAACATCATGTAGTATTAAATAGTTATTATTTCCCTTTGAATGACTCTACCTTTTTTTTGGTCATATCTTAAATACTGTAGAAGTCAAAATAAATTTTCAGCTTCCTATTCTGTTCCACCATGCTACCCAGTATATGCTGATAACATGCTACTGTTCAGATGCAATTAGTTTTGTGAGAAGTTTTGAGAACCAGTAAAGAGGCATTCATTGCTCTTTTTCCTTTCCAGAATACCTTCTCTCTGGCAACCAATTTTTATAAATACTTTAAACGATTGTGTCTAATTCTAAAATACTGGTAGAAACTAAGATAGAATCCCTTGAATCTACATTATTGTAAGGTAATTTGGACTGTTATGATATGTGTCCTTATAGGATTTTTTCATTCATTTTCACTGTTCAGATATTAATTTATGTCTTTGATGATATTTTAAAAGTTTATTTCCTTTATTTTCCTTGTTAAATTTATTCCTAAGTGATGTAAATATCAAACTGTCAGAAGTCACAGACAGGTTAAGGGGAAAAGGTTCAGTTACGTCTGGGTAAAACATTAAGGAATCAGCAGTTGTTCAAAATAAAGATCACGAGATCACAGCCCTCTTATAGTTTTTCATGCCGGCTAATGCATATTGCCATCTGGAGCCTTTGGTAGAAGTTTCTCAGTTAGAGTTCTGTAAAATCTTACCAAACATAGTGTTATCATCTCAAAATCACTGATTTAAGTTCTGAGTACTTGTCAGCACTCAAAGGTGTCAGAGTAAAACAACAAATTGTGCAAGTGTGTAATACTTTGAAAAACGGTCATGGCTAGAAATCTGCTAAGTCAGTAAAATCATAGGTCACTGTGATTCATCACCCCATTATCTGTTTTTGCAATTATCTGGCCCTGGACAACACAGAAAACTATTAGGTTGCAAACAACTTTGTTTTTGAATAAAGCCTTGACATTTCTGTGTAATCAGAGTCTCTAAGGAGGACACAGGAAACCGGAACTATTCTGAAAAAACTCAGTGTTTCTACAGATTACTTCAAAGATAAAATATCTCAAAGCTGGACAACAATTCAAGACGATTTCAGTTTATAAGAAAACATCTTTTACACAAGTAAAATACATTTAAGATTTAGATTTATATAAGTATATTCTTAATATTAAAATACTTCCTACACACTAGTCACATCTGGACTGATTAGGTCACACAGAACATTCCTTTCCTCTTTCCTTTCCTGCTCCTTTCGCCGCATTGAGACTTTTGCCTGTGCCTTTCTTCTTTCCCATTGTGGAATGAGCAGCTTCATGCAGACAGAGACCGTTTCCCTCTCCAGATTCACCTCCAGACCCCCACCTCCTCCAACAAAGATTCTGCCGTGATTTTCTGTTGTTGCATGATGAGCCTCATGTTTTCATCACATGAGTTCCTTAAAACCATCAGCCCTAAAGTGGCGGAGAAGTGTTTGCGGGGAGGGGCGTTTGCCTTGCACAAGGGTTGACTGAGGTTAGATCCCTGACATCCCAGATGGTCTCCCCAGCACTGCTAGGAGACATTCCTGAGCACAGAGCCAGGAATAAGCCCTGGGAACTGCTGGGTGTGGCTCCCAACAAAACAAACAAAACCCTAATAATCCAGATTCCTCACCCCTAAAGACCCTTAATTCTAGCGCAAACAAGAACTCAGGAGTTCTGAACCCTCCCTCTGCTAGCATTCTCTCCACTGGCAGACTCAGGAAAAAAATCTTATAATTTTCAAAAAGTGTATTATTTCTCCTCGTGAGGATTTCTGGTGAAATACACATTTATAATAGGTCCCCAAATCTTTTGTTTTCTCTGTAGTGAGAAGCCCCACATAGACAAATGCATGATTCAAACATTCTTCAGCATTACTCTTGTTAGTAAAATAAACCTCAGAGTCAACACATTTGACCAATTTTTTACTTGGATTGACGAAGCTTGAAGGGTTTAAGCCACAAAAATGATGTTTTTAATATTTAACTGCACATATAGAGAACACAATTATTGAAAAGCATATTTGTTAATGTTTATGTCATATTCATGTACCTAATGTTCTTAGTACTCAGCTTTAGGGTTCCTATGGTAAATTCATTAGCCATTAGTTAGTCATTCATTATTCCAACTTTCTTATTGATACATCTCTTTGTTTCTTTTATTTTTTGGTGAGGGCCTATTGACAAGTCTTTTCAGAGATAATGTGACTTTAGTTGATATATAAATTGATATATGTGGAATAAAAGTGGAGTGTTTTGTCCTTAATGCTGGTCATACTGAAATGAGCTTATTTTAATGAAACAAACTTCAATTAGTTTTTGTTTACCAAAGAGTTATCATAGATCAAGTCAACTTGAAAAACATTTGGGATGATTTCTGAATATTTTACAATCTTCCATTTATACTGTGCTTTAAGTTTTAAGTTGATTCACTTTGGGTCGTTAAAGATCAATTTGGCAATTCCAGGCAGTAGTGGAAAATAGTGATCATTTCAAACATAACATACAGGGACACACAGAGACATCTTTGTGGCAAAATAGATCCAGATGTAGTCCTAAAGATCCACTGGTGATCAAAGGAGTTTAAATGAATGAAAGTGACCCACTCAGATGGCTAAACTTTTCACTTACACCCTCAGAAAAGACTGTCAAAATTTGTAAACAAGGGTTTCTAACAAAGAATTTATGTAGTCTTTGTGGTTTGTATTTCTTATTTATTTATTCAGGGGGTGGAGGGCTGTGGCCATGGCAGGTGGTGCTTAGGGTCTACTCCTAGCTTTGTACTCAGGGCTCATTTGTCCTTTTAAAGTAACCTCTGTTTTCACCCCTTCTGTTAAAGATTATCTTTTTGATGTTGTAAAAAGAATGGTGTAGATAAGAATTTCTAAAGAGGACAGGTTGACCCTTTTCAGGGAAAGCATGCAAGCTTCCTCAAGTACTAGCCCTAAGCACCTAACCATGAGTTGTCCCTGAGCATTGCCAAGTGAGGCCTATGTCGCCGCACACCAGGCCCTGGGAATGAAGTGGCTATCTGTTCAGTCAGCCTGGCTCTCTCAGTCTGGCTCAAATCCAGGCTAGACTCAGTCCTGGGCCAATTGGGGAGGTCTCTGAGGAAAGCACTAGGAACTCGGGCATCAGCCTCAGGAACCAGGTCCAAGGGCACGACTGCGCTCATGCCAGGTCCAGCTGCCACTGCTGTGCTGAACAGCAAAACCCATCCAGCAGCTTTGACGGTCTCCCTGGCCTTAGCGACTGTCTGTGCATTGACACCTCCTCTCCCAAGGGTGGCAGAAGTGGAAGGTTTGTTCCTAACCAGGGAGGGGCGGGAGGAAGCAACAGGAACTGTTGGTGGCATAGCCACCTGCCTCGGGGATGGGGTCTGCCCAGTGAAAGAGACGGCCTGAGAGACGCTGTCTCGGGCAGGGGTAGTGCTGGCCTGTCCGGGCTGACACTTCATTTTGGTCCCTTCTGGACACACTGCATCTCACTGCTCCATCAGGAAAGCCACTCCAGCCAAGCTGTGCCCTCGCATTTACTGCTTGTTTATTCTCTGTTATTCCATCATGTTATCTAGATTTTATAACTGGCTTTTTAAAGTGATTTTTAAGTCTTTGGTCCTTAAAACTTCACAAGGCGAGATGCTGCAGTAAACACCTCTGCACACACCTTCTTCAAATGAATTGCCTCTGCTGTCTTGGACAGAATCCTTGAAATCGATTTGCTTCTAAGGTATAACAATATATTGCATTATGACATACAAAACTGAAACTGGATCATGACGGAATACCAAATGGCATGGTGAATGCCAGATGGATCGGAGACCCTCGCACACACTCCTGTCTCTCCCCACTGTCCAAGGCCTCCAGGCCAGACTTCTGTCCACTGTCTGGAAGCCCTGATGAGAATGGCCTTGCATTCTCATGAGGCAGGGAAGGTTCCCTGGGCTGATGAGCTATAAAGCCTTGCCCTGTTCCGAACAGCGTCAGTGGACAGAAAGTTCCTGCTCCAGCTTCCCTGGGGGTGGGGAGGAGTTCCTTAGCCTTTGCCCAGTGTTCAGCACTGAGCTCTTGCAGCATCCAGCTGTGAGGAAGGGCAGAGATGGCAGCCTGACAGGTGGATATCAATGTCCCTCCTCTCAGGCCCCCTAGCTCAGCATATAGCTGGTAGCCAGTATGCAGACAGGTCCACTCTCAGTGGCCAGGGAGACAGTGGAGGAGGCCAGCAGGGACTGTTGGGGTCCCATCATGAGGGAGATGATTCTGAAGAGAAGAGAAAATTAAAGCCACAATGAGAAATCATTGATTCCTGTCTGATGCCCATTATTTACACAGAAAGGGAGCCATTAGTGGGAGGCAGTGGAGACACCGGAAGCTGTGGGGCTGTCGTAGGACTTCAGGTTGCTCAGTCACTATGAAAGGGTCTGAGAGCCTCTGAAAATTGAAACTGCCACTGCTATGACCCAGTCCCAGAGCCCCGGAGACCACATCCCCGTCTCTGAGACCGACGGGTCTAAATCCAGCCCTTCGTCCACTGTGACTCGACTTCTCCTTGGGGACGGCTAGGTTCAGGGGATCATGGCACAGAGAAGAGGGGGCCAACTGGAGCTCTCACAAATCAACAGGAGGCATTTAACTAACATGGCCCTTTGGGAAAACAGGTGACAGCTGCTCAGAATATTCCAGATGGCTTTTTCCTCCCACCCAGCAAGATGGATTTACTCCTGAGTCCCTGGAGCCTTTGAGTGAAATATGAAAGATTTGCATCCTAAACGTGGATGCTCACGAATCAGAGCCATTCTCTTGACAGCTCTGAGCAGGCAGTTTTCAACCCACTGTGTTTTACATCTCCGTCTTATGCTGGTTGCTTGCAGGACGCTCCCTGGTTCGCTGGTTTCTATGGACCACAGCCTTGATCTGGGCTGGTTGCTTACTGGTTCTGTCCCTGGAAGTCTGTTGCTCGCTTCCTGGTCTGCGGCTACCTCTCGAGGCCTTGGCCCATGATGCTTTGTTCTTAGGATCAGGTGCCGAGAACCACTGCTTTCCTGTTGTCTCCCAGGCCCAGGGGAGAGGCCCAAGATAAGCGTCCCTCCATCTGAGTCAGATCAGGGGGAGAAGAGATGCTGCCATTTGTATGAGGTCAAAGAGGAAGTTGCCTGAGCCTTGCCCCCATTGGCAGCTTACTGTTTTCCGCCCTTAGCCAGTGCATTTTCGATTTGGACTGGATACCCTTTTGGTGGGTGACATTTCAAAGGACCAAGTGAGTTCACTAGATTACCTGGCCACCCTCCTTTCCTCTTCTGTCATGACACTAAGTTTAGTGACAAGAACTCCAAAGGATGAGCCCATGATAGCCCCCACACAAATGTTTACAGATGTACTGTCTCACAAGGAGCCAAAGACAGACACATCCAATGGTCACCAGCAGGTGAATGGATGCAATGGGTGTTCATATGGTGGGACATTGTCTCTCCGTAGAAAGAAATAGAACCCTGACACTGCTACCGCGTGAGCAGATCGTGAAGACACGCGCAGCGAGAGAAGATTGTTGCCCTGCACCAGCATTTAAATTAACTCCTGGGGCAGCGAGACTCAGGTGGCTGACCCAACTGGCAGGAGAGAGAGAGGCTAGTTCTCTGGAGTACGGGGGTCTTGAGGAAGAGGAAATGCTTGGAGTAATCTGGTGCCGACAACTCTATTGTCACACCCAAACCTGCTGAATCATATAACTAAGAGGGGTTGGTTTACAGAAGTGAATTATATCTCATTCAAGTTGTTAAGAAAATAGCAATTGTATTATTTTCTTCAGATTTCTCCAAGCAAAGAAAGGATAAAATCAGCTTCAGTTTAACCAAAAGAGTGACAAAAGATGAATCAGATGATGAAAGTCCCTTCTGTGAAACTGAGCGATGGCCACATAATGCCTCTTCTGGGATTTGGCACCTCTGCTCCGAGTCAGGTAACTGCACAGCATTGGGATGGAGGCACTCGGGAGGACCCTGATCAGGTCCTGTGGACAGCTGATAAGTCCAGTGGGGCCACACTCTCCTCACTCACAAGATGCTTTCCTTAGCGGGCAGGGCTGGTTATTGTGTACATGGGGTCTTTGCTTTTAAGGATTCAATAGTCTTAGGATGGGAGAAATAGCTCAAAGCACTGGGGCAGGAGTGGGTACCTGGGATTTAATACTCACCACCACATGGTTCTGCAAGCACCAGGTAGAGTATGACGGCTCTGCTAGTACCTTTCAGGAATCCTGAGCACTGTTTGGAAGACTATCTATACCCCCTCCCCCCCCCCCAAAATAAACCAAAACTGAAGTGAAATGTTAATAGCACAAGACATTTGAGAATTCTCTTTAAAATGAAGGTCTGGGACTTTCACCATCTTCTGATTGAATAGGTCAAGGTGAGTAAGAGCACGGGCTGTCTGAAGCCACATGTGCTTGCTGAGAGTTATCTTAGCAATGGATTTATAAAGCTGGTATAATGGTATCTCATAGACCGAATTAAGTCAGTATTGTAAACACATACTATTTAAGAACATATAGAAATGTACATACATGTGACTTTGATCTATGGTTCACATAGATACTGTAAATCCAGGGGGGTTTTCAGACCAGTGGGGCATTGGGTCCGACTCAGGGGCTCACAGAACATCAACCATGAGCCTCTTTCACCAATCTTGGTAGTTTTAAACTCATACGGTAGAAGTATCTCATTGGAGTACTCTGTTGGTTTGGTGCCATACCCAGCAGTGCTCAGGGTCCATACCCGGGGGTGCTCCTGTGCATGCTCAGAGGGTCCCCAGGTTCTGGGGGTTAAATCCAGGCCCACCCGGCACTTCTTTGCCTCATTAGTCATTCACCCAGTATTGGCCACAAAATCCACGTCTGGCGGGTCCGTCACAGCTCTTGGTGGTTAGGAAGGCAGTTGGTTCTCTGCCACTGAACTCTGACCAAACAGGTCTTCTCCCTTCCATGCCTTCAAGGTCCTGAAGAGCACGGTGGAGGCAGCCGTGCAGATGGCCATTGATGTCGGCTACCGCCACATAGACTCAGCCTACCTGTACGCCAACGAAGAGCAGGTGGGGCGGGCCATCCGGAAGAAGGTCTCCGACGGCACCTTGAGGAGGGAAGATGTGTTCTACACCTCCAAGGTGTGTTCGTGGGTGCTGGGGGGAGGTCTGCCTGAGGGAACTCCTGGGTCGATTTCTGTTCTTACTGACTGTTCCTGCCGTTCTGAGGCCTTGCTGGGAAGCTCGGTCACGGGACTGTGGCTGAAGACACGTCAGGCAGACTTTGCCAGGAAGCGTGTGATCTTGGAAAAATGGTGAACTCTCTCTCCCCAAATATAAAATAAAGATAGCGCTATTCACCTCAGGGGATGTTATCAGTACTGCTTCAAAGTGTACACATGAAGCTTTGGGAAAAGCATATAGCATTGTACCTGCTCAAAGGTTTTAGTTATCATGATTATCATATTTTTAAAACTCAGGGATGATTTGGCTTTTTCAACTCTGCCCCATTCAAATTTTGACAAACCAGCTTAGCATGTCTTGGCCCTAACATGAGGGAGGACAGCATTACGTTAGAAAGTGCAGGTATCATAGTTTCAGAAACTTTGAGTTTGAGTTGATGAATGTTTGACCAGGACATTACTTATGTAGAGTTCTTCGGTCTCTGTGAACCTTTGTCTAAGACATTCTCTCATTTCTTTCCTGTGCCATAAAACAACAAAGTTTCAGGGCTCTTGAGGGTAATGCAAGACCATGTGTGCTTCCAGATTCCTGGCCTGCTTTCCTCACATGCACCACACATGGGTGTAGAAAGCAGGCGGCAGGACTTAGATATTTGGCTCAGAATGGACAGGGACAGCCAGCAGGAAGGGGTGTCCACGCCCCCCTGGCCACAAAAGCAGCTTTTGACTGAAGGCAAAGATGGCATTGGAGAGAGGAAGCAGGTCTGTGGGAGGGAGGGTGCCCCCGCGGGTGCCGGGGCACAGGCCCCTCCCCCGCCTTGCCGCAGAACCAGCATGTGGCTGTCCCAGTGGCGCTGCCGCCCCCCGCCCCCCAACTCCTGTAGAATTCTTTCCTTTTTCAACTTTGGTCATTAGGAATCACTTTTGTTAGATCACAACATTTTCACAACATTTTTTTCCCCAAATTTTATTTTAGGTGCAATGATTCACAATGCTGTTATTGGTGGGGTTTGTGCAGAGACGGTCTAGTACCACACGCCTGACCCCAGAGCCTCCCCCGGGAGCAACCCCCATCCCCATGGCCCCCAGTACTGTGGCGGCCTCCTCCACCTGCCTCCGCCCTCCCGTCCCTGCAGCTATGGGCCACCTCTTTCCACCCTGAGCTGGTGCGCCCGGCGCTGGAGCATTCGTTGAGGCAGACGCAGCTGGGCTATCTGGACCTCTACCTGATGCACTTCCCAGCAGCCCTGAAGGTGCGGGGACCCCGCATGGGAGGAGGAGGACATTCAAGGTGTCCCCCTGAGGATGCCGGGCTGTGCTGGAAATTAGTCTGAGACCAGCGCACGGCTGGCAGGACCGTGCCAGGGAAGAGGGTGGGCATGGGGGCTGACCCCCTTGGCTTCTGCTTCTAGCTGGGCCCTCAGTGGCCCAGAGTGTTGCAGTCGAAAGCCATCCCTGTCAACCATCTGAGGCCTTGCCGGGTCCCAGGAGAGGGAAGGACCATCTCAGGCCTCTGGGCATCAGGTTCCCTGCGTGGGGGAGGCAGAGGTGTCCTGTGTTACCTCCTTTCTCCTCACAGCCTGGGAAAGAGATGATCCCAAGGGATGCCCAGGGCCAAGTGCTCCTGGACACAGTGGACATCTGTGCCACATGGGAGGTGAGTGCCATGGGAACCCCCATCTCTGGCCTGGGGTCACCTCCGGGCATCTCTGCCCAGTCACTCAGTCGCCTCCCACCTATCCTCCGTGAACTCGGGGCGGACAGGGTCTCGGTGCTCGGTGTCCAGGCCCCACCAGGGACCCGTTGCACAGTTGCGTTCTTCCAGGCATGCATGGACAACGGGGTGAAGTCCTGACCGCTGGTGGGCAAGATGCCCTCTCCTGCATGCCTGCTGACCCTCTCTCCTCCTCCATCCTCCTGCTCCTCCATCCATCCCTGACTCATTGGCCCCTCTCCTGCCCTGGCTGGGATGGCTGCACTTCCCTAGTGTTGGTCATTCAGCTCCTTCCTTCCCAGGCCCTGGAGGAGTGTAAGGATGCGGGGCTGGTCCGGTCCCTCGGCGTGTCCAACTTCAACCACCGGCAGCTGGAGCTGATCCTCAACAAGCCCCAGCTGAAGTACCCACCCGTGTGCAACCAGGTGAGGCCCACTCTCTCTGTGCGTGGAAGTCGGGTTCCTGGCACTTCCAGCGAGCCATGGGAGTGTCACCGGGACTGCCAGGGTCCGACAGAACTTTATGTTGGAGAATTTGATGTTGGAGAATTGTCAATTCCCTGTTTATCTGGAAAAGCCCAGGAATTTGCCCAGGAATTTGCAGGAAGCCAAAAATGTAGAATGGGCAGTCAAAGATGGGTCTGCTCCCCCCGCGGCACTGGTGGACAGGGCCTCCCTCATCCCAGCGCCTCGATGAACACTTGCTGGCATGCTGGTATCGCTGGCCTTCCTGTGGGTTCCTGGGAAGCTGGTGCTGGGGGCCTGGAGCCCAGCTGCGGTCTCGGTGTCCCTGCAGGTGGAGTGTCACCTTTACCTTAACCAGCACCGACTGCTGGGCTTCTGCAAGGCCAGGGACATCGTCCTGATCGCCTACGCAGTCCTGGGGTCTGACCCGGAGAAACAGTGGTAAGGGTCGCCACGGGGCCATTGAGTTGGGGGAGAGCTCTGGGCCAGGGGAGCTGAAGGTGAGACAGCAGGAATTGCAGGAAGCCTGTTTCTGGGCCCTGCCACACTGGGAGGGCTCAGGAAGACACTGTTGCACAATCAGATTTCTTCTTTCTCGCTGTCCAAGGATGCTCAGGACTCACTTGTGGCTCTGCACGAAGGGGTCACTCCTGGGACCTGTGTGGCTCAGGGGACCCTGTGTGGCACTGGGGATGGAACCCAGGCCGACAGTGTGCAAGACCAGTGCCCTGACTCCTTAGAAAGGACAAATGGGGGTGAGAGAGAGAGAGAGAGAGCAAGAGAGAGAGGGCACGTGAGTACAGTGGAGGACAACATGCTTGGCCTGCAGGCAGCTGGCTGGTTGTCACAGCACCCCATATGATCTCCCAAAACCCTGAGCACAGAGCCAGGAGTAAGCCCCAAACACTGCTGGCCATGGCCCCAAAATAGAAATACACAGGAGAAGTAGGGACTTTCCAGAATGCCCACGAAAACCCAGGCGGGGACTGAGGCATGATGTTGAGAGATAGCGGACAAGGGGGCTCTCCTTGGACTCTGTGTTTCTCTTATTCCCCAAGAATGAAACATGCGAATAAAGGCGCGGAATTATCTGACTGCATTTCTGGGAAAGGCAAACTCACTGACAAGGGTCGCCTGTTGTTTGGGATGGCGATTGCTGAGATTCTGTTTGGACAAGTCTGTCTTTTATTTGTGTGTGGGGGTGGGGGTCGGGGGTCGGGTCAAACCTGGCAATGCACAGGGATTACTCCTAGCTCTGCACTCAGGAATTATTCCTGGCAGTGCTCAGGGGACCATATGGGATGCTGGGAATTGAACCTGGGTTGGCCGTGTGCAAGGTAAACGCCCTGTCCGCTCTGCTATCGCTATAGCCCCCAAGTCTGTTTCTTTTGACTTATTCAGTCATGTAGTAAATTTCCTGCAAATATTTCAAAGATGGAGTTTTTGAAACTTTAGAAAAATGTTCAAAGAAAAATCCTAGAATTTCCCTTCTTGATTTACATTCTCTTTGGATTCACAAAACGCCACAGGGCAGGCGGAGAGAGTCAGAGGGGCCAGGGTAGTATCCGTCTCCCTGGCCTGGGTTCAGACCCTCTGGCAAACGTGCCACTGGCTCTCCGGCCTCTCCCTCAGGGTGACCAAGGACAACCCGCGTCTCCTGGAAGACCCAGTGCTCAGGGCTCTGGCTGGCAAGCACGGCCGCAGCCCCGCCCAGGTGGCCCTGCGCTACCAGCTGCAGCGGGGGGTGGCGGTGCTGGCCAAGAGCTTCAGTGAGAAGAGGATCAGAGAGAACTTCCAGGTAGGGACAGGCAGCAGACAGCGCGCCCAGGGCATGTGGTGGGCCCTCTGGGCCGAGGCCGAGGCCGGGTGCTGGTGAATGGTGCCCTATGTCAGTGTCCACGGCAGAGGAAGAGGGTCTTGCCCAGCCTCACCCCTGGGCTGGCCGAGCATGCCTTGCTGTCTGCGGAGGCGGAAGATGGCAGGGGCATCCCTCAGCCAGTGGCGGCTGCTCGGGAACCCGCAGCTCCCAAACAGACTCAGTCTCCTGACTTTGGCGAGACACACCCCGGGCTCCTGACAACTGGCAGACCCCAAGCAGGGATTGCTGCCTCTGGGGGAGCTCAGACCCCTCATCTCCTCAGGTGTTCGACTTCCAGCTGAGTCCAGAGGACATGGAGACGCTCGACGGCCTCAACAGGGGTCTGCGCTACTTCAGGAACCTGGAGTAAGGCTGGGCCCAGCCCCTGGGCAGCCCCGGGAGTCAGGGGCAAACGTGTCTTTGCTGCCTGCTCCCAACCCAGGCACCCAGACTCCCCCACTGATTCTAGGTCCCCTTCCAAAGTCTGTCTGATGCCGGGGGGGGGGGGTCCCCAGGTGACTTATGCAGTGTGGGGAGGAGAGAGGCAGAAGCCTGGGAAGGGGGCCTGCCACTTTCTCTCTCTACCTCTGCCACTTGGGACCGGCTGTGAGCCGGTTCCTCGTAGGAAGGAGTCAGTCCCACACCTTCCCCAGGCCTTGCAGGTCCCTGCCTTTCCCTCAGAGAAGAATTTCAGGAGATGAGCAATGAAGTTGAACAGATTTGATTTGGAAGCTTTGAGGAGTGGGGGCAGGGGAGAAAGGGGGCTGCAGAGAGAGAGAGGACAGAGAGAGATACACAGAGAGAGAGAACACAGAGAGGCATAGAGACAGAGACACACACATACACACTCACAGAGAGAGAGAGAGAGAGAGAGAGAGAGAAACATGTTCAAGTGAGACCACAGGCTTCTCCAGAGTGGAGAGGGAGACCCCGTACATACGCAGCATTAGGTGGAAAAGAAGAAAAGTCCACATGTCCAGAGGGGAGATGCGGGTGACACGTGTGCACAGGCCATGGGCTCGGGCAGCATATGCATGTGCTTCCTTTGTTTTGTCGGCTTTTGTGGGGTTTCTCCCAAGCTTTCTGCACAGGTAAGAGTTCATTGCAGTGGCTGCCAAGGGGGTAGAGCTGGGAGCAGTGGACGGTCTTCTTTGACATTCCTTTCTGGCCTTTGCCCACCGAGCCTCCCTCAGAAGGGTCTGTGCTGGGGCCAGGTGATGGTCTTGTCAGGCCGTATCCCTGTGTCCACACACGGCCGCTGGACCTCCCACTTCCCGGGAGCTCTTTGCTGTGGGCACCTTCCCCATCACCTGCCTGCCCCAGAATGAAACTCGGCTACTCCAGCCCAGACATTGTTACCGGACAGTGTCTCTTTATCTTTCAGATTTGTTCAACATCCCAATTACCCATACACTGAGGAGTATTAGCAGCTGCACTGGGACTGCTCAGCCCGGCCCGGGAAGATTCCAGTCCCCGGAATGAAAACAAGTCTCTAAGCCAGCGTTTTCCTCCAAAGCAAGATACAAAGCAAGATACGCCTGGCACAGCCAGGCTCCTGCTGTGCACTGCTATGCTTTCCAGTGGCACCGAGGGCTGGGTGCTGAGGCTGGGAACTGATCCCAGCAGATTTGGCTCTCGGGTAGAGTGAATGACTTTCCTGTCCTCCAAGTCAGCTTTCCATAGCCTGGGACCCTGGGACTTTCTAGGGGAGAACAGTGAAGTTTTAGCAGAACCTTTAAACAGTGAAAACCACATGCTAAAGGGAAGGGAAGAGGAAGAAAGAGGAAAACAGGGATGTTGGTGGGAGTGGGTACTGGTGAAGGTATTGGCATCTGAACTCACACTCAGTTACGAATAACTCTGTGACTCTCTGTAATTCACAGTGATTCAATGAAAAATAAAAAAAAAGATAGGAAATATATAAAATCCCCACTGCTCCATATTTAAACTATTCACAATAATTTTAATATATTTATCTTTTGAAATTTTTATAAAGGAGGAAAATGCTTCCTTCCCAAACAAGGAAGATATCAAACTAGATGGAAAGAAGGGCATGGGTCAGAGATAATCTAACAAGCTAGTTTCAGCCGCCCATAAACTTGATCATTACAGGATCTGGTGCCACCTAGTGGCGAATTCGTGACAGTGCAGAGCCCTAGACGAAAAGCCGGATTGTGGATTCCAGATTTGCACTTTTTGCCTATCTGCTAAAATTAATGTAGCCCCAAATGAACCTCTCAGGCAACGCTTATCATTCCTGAACATGTAAAAATCACAATATTTGGAGGTATCAGAGGTGATACCCAGCTCACCAAGGTCGGGCAACTTCACACAGCAAGTTTGTAACATTGCCTCCATAAGATAAGTCAGTGAACAGAATTTCTCCTCCACTGAGGGTGGTGGGAATTGTGCTGCAAGAAAGCTCCCCACTCAGAACAGAGTGTGGAGTGTTGTTCCAAAAGGACAAAGTAACAAATACAACTTTCTCAGGGAGCCTCTGTCTGCTCAAAGAGAACCTTGTGTAATTCTCAGATTCTTGCCACTTTTTTCAGGTAGGTCATGTATGCCTCCGTGTTCTAAGGAGCTACTTTGTCTCCTTTTGCTCAGTAAAAAGCCCCAACTACCCCAGTTTCCTCAGGGAGAACAATGTGCCTAAGTTTATTCACAGAGGTCATGTGTGCTTCTTTTTCTTCAGGAAGGTGGCTGTGTGTGGCTCAGGATTCCTCAGGGAGAAATTCATGTGTGCATATTTACTCAGGAAGAATGCCACATGTGTCTTCATTTTCCTCCCAGATGAGGTTGTGTTATCTTATTTTCCTCAGGCATACTGCCTGTGTGTTCTTCAGTTTTCCAACAGAAAAAGACAGTGCCACTGTTTCAATAGAGAAGGCCGTGTTTGCCTGTTTCCTCAGGGAGGCCATCTTTGGCTCAGTTTTCTCATGGAACTCCGTGTTCATCTCGTTTTTCTCAGGAAGTTTTTTGTGCTCTGCTCTTTCCTCAGAGTGCCATATGTGCCCACAGTTACCTCAAAGATAAGCCCATGCTATCTCCTTTTCCTCAGGGAAGATGCAGTGTGCCTGTTTCTTCACAGAAAAGACCATGTCCCCCCAGTTTTTTCATGGAAAAAATTATGTGTGGCTGAATTACCTCAGAGAGAAAACTTTGTGTGCCTTTATTTCTTTAGGTGGGCTAGAGCAATAGCACAGCGGTAGGGCGTTTGCCTTGCACGCAGCCAACATGGCCGACCCAAGTTCGATTCCTCTGCTCCTCTCAGAGAGCCCGACAGGCTACCAAGAGTATCTCACCCGCACGGTAGAGCCTGGCAAGCTACCCGTGATGTATTCGATATGCCAAACACAGTAACAACAAAGTCTCCAATGGAGATGTTACTGGGCCCGCTTGAGCAAATCGATGAACAACGGGAGGACAGTGACAGTGATTTCTTTAGGAAATTGTTAATGTGTGCCTGTCTCCTCAGGGAGTATCTACTTAAGGCTGTTTCCTCAGTGAGAAGATCAGCCATGGTTTAAATTTCTCATGGACTATCCATGTTACTCTTGTGTTCCTGTTTCCTCAAGATGGATGCTCTGTGCCTTATTTCCTTAAGGGCAAGTCCATTTCTCTACTGTTCCTCAAGGGGAATGCGTATGCACTATTTGTCAGAAAGAATGCTGTCCATGCCTCCAGTTTCCTCAGGGAAATGGAGGCTATACCTGTTTCCTCTTAAAGAAAGTATCAATACCTCATTCTCCTATGGGAGAATGTCATGTGTACCTTGATTTCTTCAGGGAAAAGATGCTACCTCAGTTTCTCACAGAGGTTGGATGTGCCTGTTTCCTTAGGGAGGTGATCTGTGGCTCAATTTTCTCACTGACCTCAATGTGTTGTTTGCCTTTGTTTTCTGGAAAGAACATTTTGTATTCGTGGTTCCTCAGGAAGAATACTGCCTGTGCTATTTCCTCATGGAAAAGGCCATGTGCGTCTCCTTTCCTTCATATGAAGGCCATGTGTGACTGTTTTCACAGGCCATGGCAGAGTATTTGTGTTCTTGTCCTCATGAAGACCCTGTATACCCATTTCTCAGAGAGAAGACCATGATTCTGTTTCTTCAGGGAGTAAGCTGTGTCTCATTTTCTTAAGTGTGTCGTTTTCTTAAGTGTTCCTCTAAAGTGTGCCCCAGTTTCTTCAGGGAGATGGCAATGTATGAATCAGTAACCTCAGGGATAGGACAGTGTATGCCTCGGTGTTCTCAGGAAGAAGGTCTCATGTGCTTGTTTCCTATGTGACAAGCTGTGACTGTCTCCTAGGAAGAGAACATGTGTCCCTCATTTTCCTCTGGAAGGCCATGTGGGCATTGGTTCTTCGGGAGGTCTCTGTGACTTTGTTTCTCAGAGCTCCATTTCCTTTGGGTAAAGATGGTTTCCTTTTCCTTAATGGTGATGCCGGTATACCTGTTTCCTCGGGTACAAAGTCCTATGTGCCTACATTTTCCCTCAGAGAGATACCTATGTATGGTTTCCCCAAAGGAAAGCCATACCTGCCTCATTTTCCTAAGTGGTTCAACCTCTCGTTAGAGTTGGGTCAAACAAAACAACTCAACCTGCACTGGCCATGTTCTCATGGTGCTGCTCCTGCCCTGTCCTGTCCTTTCTGGTGTCACTAACAAATATTCATTTTGTGTTTGAGGGCCACAGCCAATGATGCTCAGGGTCTATTCCTGGCTCTGTGCCCAGGAGTGACCTTAGTGGGGTGGGGTGGAGTGTGACATCAGGGATCAAACCAGGGTTGGCTGTGTGCAAGGTGCTCTTGCATTATTTCTCTGCTGACAAGTATTTTTTTCTTCATGACATCTGTGAGTGTCAGGGCTAGAGGACATGCCAGGCCCTCAGGGAAGGCTCCTGGGGACCCTGGGGACAAGGGTGAGGGGTATCAGAATCCCAGTCTTGCTCCTGGGGTGCAGAGAGCCACAGGCGGGTAAGATGGCAGAGAGGGCCCAAGAGCCCATCTGGGGCTGCACCACAGAGTCTTCCACGGAAATGTGTGTGTGTGTGTGTGTGTGTGTGTGGTGTGTACTGGCCCAAACCACCCACCCAAACCACTCGGGGTCCTGCAGTAGAGACGGGTGGAGAGGTACAGGGCTGGTCCCCCTGGCCCCTAGTGAGTGCGTGTCACAGCAGGGAGAGCAGAGGTCACCAAGGGCAAAAAGGCAGGAGCTGAGCACGACCGGCCCCCCCCACCCTAATCTCAGATCACTCATGGCCTGGACGGGCCCTGGGACGGCGTCTGAAACCAGTGGAAAGGTGAGCGGCCTGCACTGAGCTCTGGGGACCCACGGGGCCTGGGGTCCTGGTGGGGAGGGAGTGAGGGCCAGCCTGGGGCAGCCGCAGATGTGAGTGTAGAGACAAGATGCCAGCCTGGAGTTTAATGAGAAGGGACAGTCACACGGCGCCATAGCCCGCATCTTCTCGGACTCAGGGGGGGCCGCCTGGGCTCCCCCAGCACTCAGTACTCGATGTTGAATGGATAGTCCTTATGGTTTTGAGCTCTGGAAGACAAACACACATCAAGGGGAGAGCATGGATGCTGCCAGGGGGCAAGACTGTGGAGACGGCAGGCGCCAGCACCTGAGCCCGTGCTGGGGTGCACTCACGGAGCATCAGCAGCATGTGCCCAAGGCCAGATTCCCTGGGGATGGGGCAGCCCAGATGCATTGAGCAGGTGGCCTGGCTGGGGCCCAGAAGACCAAGGGCCAATGACGGGGGAGGCAGCGGGAGCGAGGTGACAGGGGAGGAGGAGGGGGCAGCCAACAGCAGAGTGGAGGGTGTCCAGGGGCCAGCTGACGGGGGGTGGGTGGGCTGGGAGGTGGCCGGGGCCAGCTTACATGGGGAAGGCGGCCAAACGCAGGTTCTTGTCCAGGCCCAGGAGAGTGCTCATGTCTTCCTCCGACAAGTGAAAATCAAACACCTGAAGTCAAGGAAAGGGGCAGAGGTGGTGCGTGAGCGCTTGCCACAGGTGTCCACAGGTGGCCCTGGGCTGCCCGGGATGGGAGGGGTGGAGGGACACGGCCTACAGTCGAAGGCAGACTCTACCCCACCCTGTACCGTCTGATACACACACACAGTTACATGCACAATCACACGCATAGTCACATGCACAACCACACGCACAGTCACGCGCACAACCACACAGTCAAACACACAACTACACATACAGTCACGCGCACAATCACATACAAAGTCACATGCACAATCACAGTCAAACACACAACCACACACAAATACACAACCACACATAATCACATGCACAAACACACACAGTCACACACACAACCACAGTCGCGCAACCACAGTCGCACAACCACGGTCGCACAACCACATACAGTTACATGCACAATCACACACACATACACACAAATAATCACACATGCAGTCACACACACAATCACAATCACACAATCACCCAGTCACAGAATCATACATGCAGTCACACAATCATACACGCAGTCACACACGCAGTCACACGCAGTCACATGCACACATACAGCCACAAGCAATTACACAGGTACAATCACACATGCATAGTCACATGCACAATCACATACATTCACAAGCACAGTCACACACAGTCACACTCACAATCACACACAGAGTCACACACCACACATACACAAACACACACACAGCCGGAGGATGCTTAGCCCTGGGACTGTGATCTCTAACAGTATCCATAACGTACCGTAAGGTTTAAGTGACCACCTGTTCTTCTAGAACATTCTAACCCCCTTCTGCTCTTCTCACCCCTGGGCACCAGGATAGTACCTGGAACCTACAAGGGCAGCTTTGCACTCAGGAAGCCACGCTGATGTCCAGGTGTTGTGTGAGCCCACCCCCCACCCGGCTCTACCCATGGGGACCCTCTGTGAGAGGAGGCAGAGATGAGGGGCTGCGGCAACAGGATGTGTGACCGGCGGGAGTTGGGGTGGGGGACAGAGTGCTGGAAGATTCCTGGGAGCTCCAGCACTGCCTGCCCCTCCTTGCTTCCCCCCCCCCCCCGCCCCCCCGTGGGCAGCTGAAGACATGCCTGGTCCACACCCGCCACTCAGAATCGAGAGGGTGGCACCTGCCTGGAAATTCTCCTGGATCCGCTTTGGGTTGACGGACTTGGGGATGACGACAACGTCCCTCTGGATGTGGAAGCGGATCAGGATCTGCGGGACAGATCGGGGATGAGTGGCCAGTATTGGGGGCAGCTGCTCCTGTCCCCTGCAAGGAGTCTCACTGGCCACGGGTGGCCCTACCTGCGCTGGAGACTTCTTATGCTTCCTGGCCATCTCCTGGATGACAGGGTTGTCCATCAGGTCCACCCCGCCACTACGGGAGAGCAGAGGGCAGGGCGTATACCTCCATGTGAGGCCGACCCACCAGGGGCAGGCCCAGGCAAGCGGGGGCAGCCGACAGGGCCACTCTTTCTCGCTGGACACTGGGACGCTGACACCCAGTGTGGGGAAGGGACGGGGGCCCATTCCTGGGTGGGTGCTGGAGTGGAGGTGTGTGACTCGGTGGGTCAGTTTTGGGGAGCAGGGGGGTGACATGTGGAGTCTGGATTCCAGATAGACAAAAAGCCTGTCCTGTCCACCGTCCCAGCCAATGTACGAGCCAGAACGAATTGCCGCCTTCTCCAGGCAGTCCTCAGGGCTCTCCTGCTCGGGTGCAGTTTCCGGTCCCCAGCGTCCAGGCTGCCGGTTCCTCCTGAAGGTGCCCCCGTCCCGTCCAGCCCTCTGCTGAGACCCACAGACGCCTGGTACCCCTACCTGGATCCGCCGAGGGGCCGGTAGGCAGTCACCACCACGTCTCTGGCGCGGCAGAACTTGATCAGCTTCGCCTGGGTCAGGTATGGGTGGCACTCGATCTGCAGAGACCAGCTAGGCACTGTCCACAGCGGCCTGGGTGGGCCCTGGGAGTGCTGGAGCACGAGGCAGGGACCAAGTTCTCCCGTGTGACCTGCTCCAGGGGCCACTGGGTGCCCACGAGTGGGAGCCTTGCAGAGCTGGAGAGGTAACTCCTCATGCTCCCAGGGAGCCCCGGCCCTGATGTCTCCTGGGAAGTCCTGGGGCCCACGTGGACCCCGCCCTCCTCCCTCACCCTCGTGCCACGTCTCCCGGGCTCCAAGCCCGACACAGGCAGGCAGCGCAGGGTCTGGGAGTGGTGTCCACCCCAGCATCCTCTCTTCTAGCTCCAAAGGGGACGGATTCACACTTCACAGGCAGGTGGGGCACTGTTTGAGGCCATTCCGGACCTCAAGGAGACAGGCTGCACGCACAGTGGGTGCAACTGAGAGCCAGGATGGGGCAGCCAGGCAGAGCTCAGCTCAAGCTGGGATATGGGTAGACAGTGAGGGACAGTGCCCAGTGAGTTGGGACACGAACGGAGAGTGAGGGAGAGCCCAGCGTGAGCCAGGAGCATTGGGCAGCTTGTCCAGCTCACCTGGTTGGTCAGCGGCTTAACCCTCAGGCCAGGCTTCGTCAGGAGCCTCTCGAGCTGCTCGTGGTTGAAGTTGGATACGCCGATGGCCCTGACTAGCCCCTCTTCCACCAGCTCCTCCATGGCCTGCAGAGTGGACAGCTGTGTGGGGCAGGGCTGCACCCTGACGTTCTGACCTCCAGCTCGGGCATGGGTCCAGGGCATGGGGGCCGCAGGGGGACTGCGCCCCTCTTCTTCCTGGGACTTGGTTGTGGACGCTGCAGCCAGCCTGGCCTCCAGCAGGGTCTCTGCCCTGAGCCAAGCTGCACTGCGCCTGGTTCCCGTGCCTGAGCTGAGGAAGTGGGAGGCACAGGGGGCCCGGAGGAGGGGCGCTGACCAGCTCCCAGCCCAGGGTTGTGTGGGGGACAGAGCAGGAGAGCAGAGCTTGGGCATGTGACCCTCCCCTCACTGGGCCCCTGCTCACCTCCCACGTGTCCAGGAAGCTCGTGTCACTGGGGATGACCATCCCGCTGCGCTCCACAGGAAGGTCCTCCTGTCCAGACTGCAGGGCCCGGGGGCGGGGGGCAGCGCATGAGGGAGGGGCCCGGCCTAGGAGCTCCTACCCGCTATCCACCACCTTTTGGGGCAGGGAGGGAGGATGTGTGTCCTGGCCACTGCCTGACCCAACATGAGGGTCTCAGCTGGGACTAGTTCCTGGCACTCCAGCCCCTGTTCCGGCCCACAGCAGGATCTTCTCTGCCTGCGAGAGGCCGCCATGGGGACAGGGACAGACAACTAGAGGGAATCAGTGACCTTGAGGGATGCGCGGGTGAGCCCTGACTGGGAGGCCGGAGGCACCTTACCATGCTGCCGGGACCGTGGTCACCCCTGAGAGGCCACTAGGGGGCAGTGAAGAGCCGCAGGCTTATGGCAAACAGGGTTCAGCAGGACGCGCGTGGGGAGGGCATCGCAGGGCATCGTCCCCTCCCAGACGGTACCTTGAAGCCCATGGGCCAGTGCATGAGATAGAGGTCCAGGTAGTCCAGGCGCAAGGCCTTGAGGCTCTTGCTGCATGCATCCCTCACCAAGGACTTCTTGTGGCTGGTGCACCAGAGCTGCGGGCAGGCGAGTGGAGTTGCACCTCCCACGAGCACGCATGTGTGCACACGTGCACAGAGTCCACGGACACATGAACACACAGTCCACGCACATGCACAGTCCACGGACACATGCATACATAGTCCACACACACAGTCCATGCACAGAGTTCATGCACACACAGTCATGGACACTTATAGTCCACACACACACACACTCCACACACACATATACAGTCCATGCACACACATCGTCCGTGCACACACAATAAATGCACAGGGACCAAGTGCAGAGCCAGCCGCACCTGGAGTCCATCTCTTGGCCTCGGAAGGGCACCAGGACTGGATGGCGACCTCGGCTCTGATGAGTGGCATCAAGGATCCGGGAATGGGTGTCTGTCTGTCTGCCTCTCTCCCGCCCGCCTACGTTTCCTAGGGCCTGTGCTTACCTCTCCAGGCCCTTTCCTCTTCTCTGCCCCGCCCCCCCAACACCTCAGACATGAGTTCCGACCACACGTTCTCTACAGATGCGCTAGGCACCCCCCATGGTGCCCTGTGGGAAACAGGACCACACCATGGCCTGTCCAGAGCATTTCCCTTCACCGAGTGGTCCCCCCAGTGCACTTGGCAGCTTTGTGCCTTGGCTTGGCTGTCCCCTCTGCTGGTGAGGTGCCCCCCGCCCCCCCCACATGCCACCAGATCCCTCACCCGCCTGTCACCACCTTGCTGACGATGAACATGTCCTGGCGTGTCACCACACCTTCCTTGATCTTGGAGTGCACAGCTGTTCCCACGTCACTCTCATTGTGGTAGAAGTAGGCGCAGTCGATGTGTCTGTAGCCCACGTCTATGGCCGTCCGCACTGCCTCCACCACTTCCTCCGGGGCCGCCTGCCAGGAGAATGAGGAGCTCGCAAGTGCGCCCGCGCACCCTGCACTGCACCCCCGCTTTCCACTTGCGCCCGCACACCTTACACTGCACCCTGGCTTTCCACTCGTGCCTGTATACCCTGCACTGTGCCTGGGCTTTCCACTCGCGCCCGCACATCCCGCGCTGTGCCCGGGCCTTTTATTATTATTTTTTTAAATATGGAACGCTTCACAAATTTGCGTGTCATCCCTGTGCAGGGGCCACGCTAATCTTCTCTGTATTGTTCCAATTTTAGTATATGTGCTGCCAAAACGAGCACTTTTAAAATTTTTATTAGTGAAACACCATGAGGTACAGTTGTAGACTTACAAGTTTTTGTGCTTGGGTTTCAGTTATACAATGATCGAGTACCCACCCCTCCACCAGTGCCCATTCTCTACTACCAATGATCCCAGTATCCCTCCCACCCCGCCTCTGTGGCAGGGCATTGCCTTTTGTTCTCTCTCTCCTTTTGAGTACTGTGGTTTGCAAAAGATGTGCCCAGGCTTTCTGCACACGCCCTCACACCCCATGCTGGCCCTGGATTTCCCTCCAGCCTTCAAAGCAGGGCTGGGCCTCAGATGCAGACAAGACCTGCAGCTCATCTAAACCCCAAATGCCTTTCTTATTTGGGGAAACCCAGACATCTGCATTCCTGCAAATAACCGCGCTATACACTGTTGCCTTCCAGAATCATCAAAAGAAGGAACCAGCACGGCAGGGACAATCCAAGCAGCTCAAACCAGCACCGACACAACTGGGCTTGGGTTTCTCAAGCACTTTTCACCAGAACTGCACAGGGACCCCAGCAGAGAACATTGGCTAATGAGTTCACTTCATAAGTCACTCACTTGTGTGGGCTGGGAGAAAATGAAGCAGCACCCACCCCAGCATGAGAAAGAACCACTGAGAAATCGGGAGAGAGAAAAGAAAAATAAGGATGAACATCAAATAGAGGCAGAAGAGAGCAATGGAGATGCTGACTCAATGAGATTCTAAACTTTGGAAACACAAAGACCATTTGTTTTAATTAAAAAATGGCAAAAAATGAAAAACAATAAAACCCAGGTAAAACTGGATTTTTCAAAGAGAAGAACATACCAACAATACGTAAACTGACACTTTGGGGGAAATAGGCAAATTCCCAGAAAAGTGCAGGCAACTTGACTTCGCCAAGATGCCAAGCAGCATCAGGCTGACCCCTGCACAGAAGCACGAACCAGGAGGCTAAAACGTAGCAAGCGGGTGTCACTATCACAACTCATTAAACGGAAGCACGCAGAGGCAGGCTGGGTGCTGATTATTGCTCCATCTAAGCATTTGTTAATTCAGCAAAGAAAGTAGCGACGCACACGCAGACAGCGCTGGCACCCCTGCTGCTCCCTCAAGCCACTGTCCGATAGCGGACGCCCCGATAAGGAAAGGGTTCAAAGTGCAGAGGGAAGGAGGAAGGCTGACTCCAGTCCCCTCGTTAGGCCAGGGAGGGCTGCCCCTTCCTGCGGTTCCCGTGTCCTGCACCGTGTCCCCTCCCCTGCCAGGCTCTGCCTTCTCCCTCCAACCCTGCTGCCCCCCGAGGGCTACCGCACTTCGAGAAAGCGGTACCCGGTAATTAAAGAGGGGCCATCCGGGCTGCGGGCACCGGGACTGGACACCGGCGGAGGCGCAGAAATGACCTCGGGGGCTGGCGGCTTTCCCAGGCCCCGTGTAGGCGTCTCGCGGGCGTCCGTCCACTTCGGGGCGGCGCTCTGGCCGCGCGCGCAGCCCCTTACCTTCCAGGTGCCCAGTCCCAGGATAGGGATCTTTCCCATCATCTTCTCGCGTCTGCAGCAACCGCGGGACGCCCAGGGTCACCTGCCGCGCGGGCGCTCCGATTGGCTAACCACACTAACGCTGGGCATGTCGATTGGCTGGCGGCCGGGAGAAGGAAGAGTTTCATTGGCTGGCGTCGCCGGGGGGGCGGTGCCGAGCGTGGCAGTGCATCTGCCCGAACCTCAAAAGGCCGCCCCGGCGGGCGTCGGGGCGTGATGTGCGCACGCGCGAGACTGTGCGTTCTGCGCTGGACCAGACTTGGCTTCCGTCTCCTAGCAACGCACCGGCAGCCGGGATGCGGAGACATGCGCCACCGCGAAGCGTGGGTCGAGTGGTTCCCAAGGCAGCCTGCGATGGTCGGAGCTAGGGGCGGGCGACAGGGGTACGGAAACAGAGGGAGTCCCTGTTCCGCTTGCACAACCCGAAGGGCTTGGCGCCGGCCCCGAAAGCCCGGCTGGAAATGTTTCGAATATCCCCGGGGCTCCTGGGTAGCGCTAATGGGCCAGAGCACGGAACTACGTCGGGACCTCGGATCAGACCCTGTCGGTGCACTCCTACAGGCCCTTGTGAGCGAAAGAGACATCCCGAGGAAGCGAGGTGCCCCCGCCCCCCGTCTGGAGTCCCACCACCCGAGCACGCTGATGTTGGCCACGCAGAACTGCCCGTGTCCTCGGCGCTGAGCGCAATGGAACCAGCGACCGGGAAGGGACACCGAGTGTCGTTCTGGGCATCTACTTGCCGCCCACCTGGCTGCACAGTAAAGGCCGAGTGCTGCTCAGGGAAACGTGGGGTCAGGGCCACTGTGCTGAGTCATCACCAAGGGCAGGACCTATTTACCTATTTCATGTAAACTCGAAAGTATATTTGCACAGAATTTAAAAGTTTTATTAATGACAGGGAAGGCATGGTAATTACCATAATGAGATCAGTGCAGACTACAATTTAATGGTTTTAGATGCCAGAAACGAAGACTTATTTATGCAAATAAAACAGGCATATTCTAGTGTATTAAATGATTTAAATCTATATACATAAATTAAAATCATATAGAAACCGTCCCAAGTTGACTTTGATTGATCTACTTTCTGAAAAATTCCATTCGCTGTTCTTTTACTTTTTGTTGGAGCAAGCAACACGAAATTCACTTGGTAAACGTCTGCCAAGAGGGCTGTCTGGGGAGGTGGGAGGGGACCTGGGAACAGTGGTGGAGAGGAGAGACGGTCACACTGGTGCTGGGATTGCTGTTGGAACATCGATGATACCCACCCGAGACAACTCATATTACCAACAACTTTGAAAATCACGGTGCCTTGATAAAAAGAACTTAAAACGCCACCGGCGGGGTTTATGCCGTCCAGCTGTGTGGAGCGAAGCGGGCAAGCGCAGCTGAAGGGGAGGCGCAAGGGCAGCAGGGCCGGCCGCTGGGAGGGTCCCCAAGACCCCCACGGTGACACGGCAGGCCCGACCGGAGAGACCGGCGGCGCCAGCCGTGCACACCTCTGAGGGCGCCATGCAGAGCCCGACAGAGGAGCGGCGCGGCCGGGGAGCCCAGGGAAGCCGGAGCGCCCGGATCCCGACGATCGCCCAGCGGCGGGGCGGGACTGGGCTCGGGCCGCGCGGAGAGTCCCCGGCATTGGTAGCGCGCTCGTCCCGGGAGCCCCGCCCCCGCCGGCACGCCCCGGAAGCAATTGGCCGGGTCCCGTCTCGCGGTCCGCGTGCCCCGGAAGCAGCTTGTCCGTGCCTCGCCCCCGCCCGCGCGCCCCGGAAGCAGCCCGCCAGTCCCCGCCGCGAGCCCCGAAGCAGCCCGCCCGGGCCCCACTCCCGCCCGCGTGCCCCGGAAGCAGCTCGCCCGGGCCCCGCCCCGTGGCCCGCCCGCGCGCCCCGGAAGCAGCTCAGCCGCCCGCCGCCGCCGCCGCCGCCGCATCGCCGCCGCCCGCCGAGGCGATCCCGGCCGCTCGCTCGGGGGAGGCCGCCCGGCCGCGCGCGCGCCGCCACCATGTTCAAGAAGTTCGACGAGAAGGAGAACGTGTCCAACTGCATCCAGCTGAAGACGTCGGTGATCAAGGGCATCAAGAGCCAGCTGCTGGAGCAGTTCCCGGGCGTGGAGCCATGGCTCGGCCAGATCATGCCGCGCAAGGACCCCGTGAAGATGGTGCGCTGCCACGAGCACGTGGAGATCCTCACGGTCAACGGTGAGCTGCTGTTCTTCCGGCAGCGCGACGGGCCCTTCTACCCCACGCTGCGCCTGCTGCACAAGTACCCGTGCCTGCTGCCGCGCCAGCAGGTGGACAAGGGCGCCATCAAGTTCGTGCTCAGCGGCGCCAACATCATGTGCCCGGGCCTCACGTCGCCCGGCGCGCGCCTCTTCCCCGCCGCCGCCGAGACCGTCGTGGCCATCATGGCCGAGGGCAAGCGCCACGCGCTCTGCGTGGGCGTCATGAAGCTGTCGGCCGATGACATCGGCCGCGTCAACAAGGGCATCGGCGTGGAGAACATCCACTACCTCAACGACGGGCTGTGGCACATGAAGACGTACAAGTGACCCAGTAAAGCGTTGCCCCGGCCCGCGTGTCCGTGCGTGTGTGTGCGCGTGCGTGGGCGTCGGGGGCTCCCCGGACGGTGCTCGGGCGGCGGGGCGGGCGTTTCCCGTGAGGGGACGGTGGGGTGCGCGGAGCCCGCGAAGTCGCTGTGGGGGGATGTCCCGGCCGTGTGACGGGCCCACACCCCCTCAGCAAGCCCCCCTTCAGCAAGCCCCTCTCACTGCCCTCGGGGAAGGGCGCCCCAGGCTCCTCGCTGACGGCCCTGGCCCGAGAGACACGCTGAGGGGAGGGCTGAGGGTCGTCTCGTCAGCCCCGGAGCCACTGACAGAACTTGGGTTCCAGTCAGGGGACGAAGGGAGCCCACGACGGTTAAGAAGGGCCTCAAGACCAGGACCAGGGCGGGCCGCCCCCAGATGTGCAAAGCTCCTCAGGGTCGCCACTTACCTCTGAGCACGCCCTGCTAATCCCCGCTCGCTGCCGGTGGACCCTGCCCAGGGTCTCCACACCAGCGTCTCCCCACGTCTGGGCCCTGCCTGTCTGCAGGTAGAGATGAAGCCTCGGGTGGGTCAGAGTCGCTGGGGCCCACCCATGCACAGGGCGGTTCCGGGCGTGTATGTGTGTCCAACTCTGAGACCATCCTTCTTCCCACTCGGGGCTCACTGCTCCTCCAAGGACTGGCGCTGGGTGCAGCGGGTGTGTGGGATACTCGTATCCGGTTCCGCTAGCTTGGTGGACAGGTGCTGGGTGCAGGCCTAGGACAGTAGAAGAACGTTTCTGAGACACCCGCCTGCTCTGAGCAATGGGCAGGGGGATCTGTCCCAGCCAGCCACTTCCAGATGGGAAATCCTCAGGGACCTTCCAGGCCTCTCCCATTCCTGCAGCTCCAGGTGGGGAGGGGACAGGTGAGAGTCCTAAGAATAGCGTTCTTAGGACTCACACAGAAAGTGGCATCTGCCTTGTTAGTCCATAGATGAAGGCGGTTTGGGAGCTGGCGGTCATGAGTGTTCATGTTGGACAAGGGAATGCTGAGCTGGGTGCTTGCCTCGTGGGCTCAGCCTTCTGCAGTCACTTGCCAGTGCTCCATAACCCAGAACAGTTCAGCCAAGGGCACCAGGGGCTTTAGGGCCAGGGCTGGGCGAGAGCACCCACTTAGGAAAGCAAACAGTTTCACTCCCAGACATGTGCATGCACATATGCTCGTATTTAACATCTCAGTTGTCCTCTGGGGATGGGTGTGGGGCGGGGGGCCCTAACTTGGACCTGCGAAGTGGGTCCTGGGTAGACTCGTGATCGTTGCAGTCAGCTAGGCAGGTGACTGTTAGTGCGGCTGCCTGGACCACAGTGGCAGGCTAGAACTCAGGTGCCTGCAATGTTCCAGGCAAGCCTACCCCTGCCTTAGAGCCCAGGGTCTGAACCACCTCTCAGTGTGAATGGACAGGGCATATTGTCCCATGTTTGTCAAGGAGAGGTGGTCCCCTGTATGGTCACACTGACCTACAAAGGGAAGCCAGTGAACAGAATCCCAGCAGGTGTTTGAGAGATTCAATAGAGGTACAGGACAGGAACAAACCAAGTTGGCTTTTGTGGCTACCATTTTCTAAGCAAAAGGAAAGTTAGTTTTCTGACAGTAAAATAGTATAGATAGTAGCCCATTGGAATTTTGATTTACAGGTAGACGATTTAAATGCCAGCCATGTGAGGATGAGAAAGAATGTATGTCTCAGTGCATCTATCTGAAACACGTCTGTGTGGTTTCTCCCACTTTCAGATCCTGCGTAAGGCCTCCAGCCCCACTTTCTTCATTTCTCACTTACATGATAAATTTCAAGAAAACTTTGAAACATTCACAAAGCGCATGATTGCAATTCTTGTATGCTCTTTCAGCAGAGCTAAATTCAGGATATAATTATTTCCTTTAAAAATTCAGTTGACTCAACATATTTTCAAAAGAGGAAATTCCGAGGTTTTGAAGAGCACATCTGTGTTACAGGAAAACATTTTCTAAGCAGAAAAAGTCTTTCTGACTATGCAAAAGATCACATTTTCGAGCACACATTTGGGGCGAGAGCCTAGAAAGACACGCTTTCTTGCGTCACACACAATGTGCCAGGGCCAGCCACGCAGCTGAGACCCCGACATTGCTGTCATTACTCGATTTGGGGCCTGGGCTCCCCAGGAATGCTCAGGGGGTCCGGGCAGATGCAGGCCCACTCAGAACCACAGTGCTGGGGCCATGCAGGGTCTACCTCGCCCTCACTTTCCAGAACAGGGTAGTGACTTTTGGAAGTCAGTTTGCATCCCATGCATGCGCAAGTGCCTATGCAAAACCTGAGGTGAGAGCAGCGCCTCACTGACTCAGCCCACTACATGAAGCAGGTGGGCCGAGGAGAGATAAGAGACAGGCAGAACTTTCCAGACCTGCCAGTGCATGCTGGGGTGCCCAGGATGGAGAGGTCCTTCAGAGCCCCTGCTGAGTTTCACTCCCATAGTCACACCGGGATGGTCTCGACAGCCTGTTCCCCCCTCACCCCACAGCATGGGCTTGTCGACTGAGGTGTCCAAGGCCCTGTGATGACCATGTGCTCCTGTCCCAGGGCTGAGTTCAGGTGTCTCACTGCAGGTGATCACAGGCCTCAGTGGGGTCTGCTCAAGTAATGGTGCGTCTGTGAATGTGTTTACAGCATCCCCCTACACACTAGAGTTGAGATGCTGGAACTCCCAGAACCAGCCAAGAGGATTCTGAGATGAGAGAGGAAGTGTCCTTTCTAGCTGGCACCCAGGCATTTGAGCAGCCCTGACTGAGAAGCACACTGACCTGTTAAGCTGTTGTAGGTCAAGAGATGAGTGAGCTAAGGGTTGATCACAAATACTATGGAAATACTATTATTTTTTACTTGGGGGGGGGTACGCCCCACCCAACAGTGCTCAGGGACTGAGGCCACTTACGGCCGTGTTCGAGGGAGCATATAATGCCTGGATCAAACTAAGATTGGCCGCATGCAAGGCAAGTGCCTTAACCTCTGCTGTCTCCAGCCTCGGGAATATTCTGAGATGACCTGAGAGCCTGTACATATGATACACACAGTTTATCAGGAAGAGGTAGCCAACATTTTTTTTTTTTAACCAACAGTTTTAATGAAACAATTACAGTGGGAAAATTACATGAGTTCAAAGCTGGGAAGTGACACCTATTTTTACTTGAACTGGCCTAAGACCCCAGACATCTTTCTCTTTTTTTAATTTAATTTTATTGAATCACCGTGAGATAGTTAATAAACTTTCATGTTTGGGTTACAATCACACAGTGATCAAACACCCATTCCTCCATTAGTGCACATTCCCCACCACCAGTATCTCCGGTATAACCCCCCCTTTCCCACCCTCCCTCTGCCTCTGGCAGACATGATTCCCCATAATCTTTCTCTACTTTTGGGCATTATGGTTTGCAATACAGACACTGAGAGGCCATCATGTTTGGTCCTTTACTTTCTGCTCACATCTCCCGACCGAATCCTCCAGCCATCTTTTTCTTAGCGATCCCTTCTCTATTCCAGCTGCCTTCTCCCCTTTGCTCATGAGGCAGGCTTCCAGCTATGGAGCAATCTATCTGTCCGGTGTATCTACTGTCCTTAGGTGCCCAGACATCTTTTGAGAAATGTATGTATAGGTAAGTAATAGAGATGTTGCAAGACTGAGCTGTAGGTCTGGGGAATGGGGCATGTTAACACTGGGCCTAGAGTCCACATAAAAGTCTTGCTGTCATGTGTGACGGGTTATTGAGAGGGTGGCCTTGCTCTTCTGCTGACACCCACTAAGAAATGATTATAGAAAGCTTGCTCATTCCTGCCTTTCAATTTTCTAACCCTGAAAGTGCCTAGAGCATGTGGAAGGGGGCGCACCTCGCCGGTTCTGCAGGCGGAAACCAAGGACAGAGCACCAGGGAATCTGGCATCTGACCTTTACAGTTTTTAAAGGTCGCTGGCTCCAAAAATGATACTCTTAAGTGAGTCCTCCCATTTCTTTTCTCCCCCAGTCCTGCTCACACTTCATGACTAAAGTGTGCCCCCCTTCCCGCACTGCTCCTGCCCACCCTTAGCCACCCTGGGCAGGTGTGGGCTCTGCTAGAAGCTGTTTCTGCCTGGAGACCCCAACCTTTCTGTCAGGTTGAATTGAGCCCTGGTATCCCAAGGGCCCCCTGGTGGGAGTGAGTGCTCACATCCTAACCGTGTGCCTGTGTTGGGCTTGGGGCAGGGCTGGGGGTGGGAGAGGGGGACCCAGGGAGAACAGGAATGAAAGACACTATTTTCTCCTTGAAGAAACTGATTTTGAGGACTGGGGAAGTCCTCTAACAATTCTTTTAAAAATGCATGTAAGCCTAAAGGTCGACCTTTCCTTTTTTGGGGGGGAAAGGACAAAAAGTGGTTCCATAAAACACGGAACTAGTCAGTGAACTAGTCAGACTTAGAAAACATCTGGCTTTTCCCATCCAACTTTACATTCACACCCTGCTACAAGGAAATGTTCTAGAACAGAACCATCCCATTGTGCTCCCGCCCAGCATGATCCCACCAGACCTCAGATGCTGCTTGCAGGCACACCTCACTGAGCTAGAGTGAGGCACTCTCAGTCCTCAGAGTGGTCCTCCCCAGTGACTCGTCATGCAGACATGTCCTGTTGAGCTTGGGGGACTTCTGTCACCGTGTCACCCAGGAGACTGGAGTCAAATGTTTCCTGGGTTGTGCCTGTTCTTGGGACCAGTGCTCCAGCAGCGGTCATAGTAACCTGCATAGAGACAAATGCAGGGGACATTCTGATGCCAAGGCTGGTGACTTAGGGCCACAGATTCTCCCAGTGCTGGTGCCTCTTTCCCGCCCTGCCCCTAGGAATCTTTCAGATGGCTCTCTTCGTTTTCAGAACATTAAAACATTCCATATTCTTGAAAAAAAATGAGGACACTTTGGACTTTGTTGGCCTAAAGGTCTAAGAAGGGGACCTGAGATACAGTGCTTCATGTTGGGAAGGG